TCGTATTTATGCAGATTGTCTAGTAAAGAAAGCATTAAGGTTCACCGTATAATAAATTTAAATATATGACCAACTTAACCTCACTCTGGGGCATAGTCTCTGGTCTGGGAGGGGGCATGAATTTCTTAAATTTATAGGTCTAGCTGCTCATTTTAATCATGCAAAAAATTTGCCTGCTACATGTCCATGAGTAATAATTTCAAAGATGTAATTTATTTCAATACGACCAATTTAGCACCATTGGCAAAGGTAGCATGAATTATTGAATTTATACAATTTTGGAAGAAGACTAGTACTTAATTTAAGTTTATTATAATCATGCAAAAATTGTCAGTCAGATATGATGAGTAAATATGAAGATTTTCAAAGATAATATATATTCACATATGACCAACTTAGTCCCCACGGCGCCTGGATGTCAGGAGATAAACTTTTGAATTTTGGTAAAGGGTCATGCATTCATTGTTACCATAAAATCAGTGTACCCACTAGATCTCCTTTAGAAAAGAAAATTTTCAAAGAAGTAATGAATTTTCAATATATGACCAACCGTCACGGTAGCTCAGTTGGTAGAGGATTCGCTCCGTGATCGAAAGGTCGTGAATTCGCATCTCGGCCGCGACTGACCTAAGTCGATAAAAAAAAAATAGGTAGCAACTGTTCCTTCGCCAAGCGCTCGGCACTTTGAAGTGAAAGTTGCGGGTCCTTCGGATAAGAGCTTAAAAACCGAGGACCCGTGTCCCGGTAGGCGTTGGCACGATAAAGAACCCTCACTGCTCAATGGCCCTGAGTGCCGAGTAAAGGTCTAAATTTGAAGCCCTTCATCGGTATATGGTGAAGTCTCTATATGAGTGAAAAATTCTCGAATGGGACGTAAAGCAACATACAATCAATCAATATGTGACCAACTTAACCATACCCCCGGAACCATTGACTGTGGATGAATTTTGTTAGAAGGCTAAGTAGTCATTGTAATCAAAAATCTAGTTTTCCCAATAGATATCCTTTAGAAAAAGATTTTCAAAGATGTTATGAACTCTCAATATATGAACAACTTAGCCCCCTCCCTTCGGGGGGGGGGGGGACAAACCTTGAACCTAAGTTTACCTAAAAACTTAGACCCCAATAAACTTGAAAATGCTGGCATATGATCATGAATATGACTTGTGTAGTCTTGCTATTCTTGAAAATATCATATAATTTCCTGTATAAAACTCTGATTCCCTATTGCAACACTACATAAAAGGGGTTGCTTGCATATTAATATTACTAATCATGGCTCAACTGTTCCTATCTAGTCCCATAAAAATTATATCCCCTACTCTGGCCCCACTATAACCCCAGGAGTCATGATTAGAGCAAACTTGAATCTGCACTACTGAGGATGCTTGCCTATCCGTATAACTAATCATGGCAATTCTCTTCTTAAGATAAAGATTTTAGTGATTATTCAATATAATATACATGTATACTTTTAGTTTTACATTTTCATGTTGAATTCTGCTACCCGATTATGACTTGATTTTCTTTTCTTTTTTTTTTTTTTTTTTTTTTTTTTTTTTTTTTTTTTTTTTTTTTTTTTTTTTACCAAATTCCATTGTATCCTAACTTATTGAACACTAGTTCAGCTTCTTCTTTTTTTTACGAAAAGTAAAATTTCCTCAAAACAAACCCAAGTTTTAACAAATTCGAGTATTTTTTTAAATTTTAATTTCTCTAAAAAGTTATCAACTATCCATATCCTAGTAATTAATTTGACATTAATTGCCCAAGTACATTTACAGTCACTGATAAAAATAACCAAAATTTGTTTTAAACCAATCAAATATTTGGCAAGGAAGTATTAGGAATCTTTAAACACGTGTCGTTATGAAAGATTTGGTTTCCTGTTGGTCTTACATATACTGGTTTTAAAAATAAATATTATAGTCGCTGTGAGCTATTAATCAATACTGTAAGACGGGTTATAATTAATCACTTTAAGATTAATTGATTTTTTCATTTTACTGTCAAATACATGAATTAGCAGCAGACCTTTTGTTATGGTGCTCGACTTTTATAAAACCATGTTTTTCTTTTCTTTTTATCTGCTAACAGGTTTCAAAGTTCTCTATTTCAGTATTTCATTCCAGATTGATAAATGTTAGCAAATTTCTTCCAAAAATTGACAAAGCTAAGCAGTTTCAAAAGAACTTGATTCGCCCGTAACCTTTAAATTATTTTTTTAAATCATTTAAATCAACTTCACAAAGCAGTCAATCTAATTGGTTGATTTTTCTCCAGAGCTAAATCAAAACTGACAACTTACTTTTTGCTTTTCTAGAATATTGATAATTTATCAGTTTGATTTATTATTTATTCCATATATTTGTAATTTTCCTATGCAACATTAAAGCGAGCTGTTGTACGTGCATTATCATGGTGATGACGGGTAATCTTCACACTACAGATGTCTAAAGGAAAAACGCACAAACGTCATACCTGACATAAAATAAAGGAACCACCTGCTATTATAAGTCTTTTAAATTTTGCGTTGTCAAAGCTCATTTACACTGTCAGCTTTTGTATAATAACAGAAATTAAAAATGAATTAATCACTATTATTTAAGTCAATGAAGGATCAAAAGTCTTTTTTCTCATTCTCAACTTGATCATCACGTTTATCATGAAGTTTAGTTTGCCAACAGTGTCGATCTCTAATATAACACCCAAATTCGAAACAGACGTGTCAGACTCTGTGGTGGGTTTTTTTTTTTTTTTTTTTTTTTGATTTTGAGCTCAATGGGATATATTGAATGAACGTATGAATGAAAATGAATATTGTTGATTGATAAAACGCCGTCGATATATCTGAATGTCGAATTGAAAGCCAGAAAAGATTTCTTCTTTTCATGCAAAAGCTTTGAATAATTGCTGCTTCGTAAGAATACAAAAACAGATCTGCTTACAAAGGGGCGCAATTAGTACCCATGGGAATTCCAGCGGTTTGTTGGTAGACCAGGTCTCAAGAGACTACATAGATCTGTCGATGAGAAACTCAAACATCTTTTCTATGTCAACCTCAGAGTACTGCGTGAAGAATCAGAATGGTTTTTAACAAAGTAAGTTTGCAGATGACCAATAAGAAGGTATGAAAATTTGCTAGTTCATTTTTATTGAACGAGTGTGTTTGATGTCAACAAGCCCGTGCCTAATTTATCATGGGGAATGGCTGTATAAAGTATGGTTGTGAAAAGCCATACGTATTGATGCTATTGATTTTTGCAAAACTTGGCGATATCCCCTCACCCGTCAAAACGAGATTTCAAAAATCCACTTTTGAACCATCGTCCAGCATAATCTTTGACAGAAGTCATATTTATGAAACTTTAACTGGTGTTCCCTAAATTTTATTGCGCCATTATTTTCACAATGAATTGTCTACGGATTTTTCCGTTTGCCCGATCATGACAAGGAGCACACGGCGGGTGTCGGGTGTGACCAGTCGACAGGGTCTGCTTACTCCTCTATCCCACCTCTGATGTTTTTAGAGGTCCGCGTTTGTTTTACTTCCAATTTGTAATGTTCCAATGGACTTTTAAGCTTGATTACTGTTCGTCATCTTCACATTTATCTTTTAAAATGACATCAAAAAATACACTTAACATGAAATGCAAATTATGGCCATTTTTTTTTTCAACTTGCTTAGAACCTGCATCGTTTGAATTGAAATTCCAATAGGTATATTTTGTTTATCAGATAAATATATTTTATGATATTTTAATCGTAAAAAGAACCATACTTATCTAATAGTACATATAAAATTGGTATCTTGTAATGTAAAATTAATATTTCTTCATTAATTATCTTAACGGTGAATTCTTAGAACTTTTATTTGCAAAAGCTAAAATAGAAAGTAATTTGGACATATTTATGTTAAATAAACTATTCTCTCATCACATAAATCAAATATTTTAATGTTGTATAACTTAAAAGTATGTTTTCGCGGTTACCAGATAATACCGAAACACATTTTTGTGTAGAGAGTGTTTTAGTGTTTTGTTGTAAAGTAATATTTATTTAACAAATCTACTGTTTAAATTATTTCTTTTTTCTTAATCTGTAAACGCTGATTTTACTTTGAAACGCATTAAATCTGGCGCTCTAGTACATCGTTTTCTCCAGCCCATTTAGATGGTTACAGCAAGTCTTCGACCGCAAAAAAATGTCTAAAATTAATGTCACCATTTTCCTCGTAAATAAGCTGCGATTTAATTTTGTGTCTAAATTTAAAACTTTAAAAACAAATTTGGAAGCCGGATACATAAAAACAAGATTCATTTGCATATACATACAACAATTGTCAATTAAAAATATATTCCACGACTAAGTAAATAAAAATTATGAAATTTTAAAAACAGTTGACTATACAGAACACTTTGTGTGTCTCGACCTTCAAATGAATCCATGCATTATTTAATTGAGGAGATTCAATATCATTAATAAAAACTAATTATGTGGTCTTCTAACATTTCTACACAAGGTATATTCTGAGAATAGATGACTAAGAAAATTAACCACATAAATCTGATGAACAGAAAAATAAACTTCAGTGTCTACGTAATGTATGACCCTTTCATGGTTACTTTACCCAAAATACTTTCAGAAACGCTTTCATATACCGTACCTTTTAACACTTCCTTATACATGTAAACAAAGATTTGTCACTAAACAACATCTATTAATATATTTTCCTTGGATTTCAATCAAAGCATCTATCAGAAAAAAATACTGCTATAAGATATTGTGAAAATTATATAAATATATATAAATACTACACACAGAGGGTATTGAGTAGTGTGCACTGATGGTTTTCTCTGCCTACAAAAGTAGTAATTTTTATTCTTGAGACGTAGACCATGTCATGCTCTCTCTCTCTATATGTTTAATGTAAATTATCTTCCTGAACATAGGTTGTGCCGCGACATAAAGCCAATCAAGTAAAAGACAAAACACAGATATTCATTCATTATATGCATATATTCTTCAAGAACAAAACTGAGTATGGCAGACTCTGCAGATACCAGACAAGTCAACTTTTCATACTTTTAAACATTTTGTCAACATTTCACTCTCTCATTCAATAAAGCAAGTAAAAGGATGCATTATTAATCAACTAGTGACAAGACAACCAAGAGTTCCATAAAATATTTCAAAATGCGTCAAGTACATGCTCTCTCTCTCTATATATATATATTCTCAGTTTCATCCTTCATAAATAAAGTGCATATTTAAAGCATTCAGATACATTGCTCAAATAAAATTTTTCTTAGAACTACTAAATGCTTAATGACATCAATTGTCGTGCCTTTGATTAATTTCACTTTCAACAGGCGAATTCTCCTTCTTAAATATTTTTCCTTAAACAAAAGATGAAACTTGCTTATAAAAGTGTTTATGTATTATGCTACTTTTTTCAAAGATCACAATATCATTCTTTTGATTTTAAAAAGGTTAATCAGGCCAATCGTTTTACTTGCAAATCTAGGAACACTTTTTTAATCCAAAGAGGGGTAAAAATGAACATTTGGCAGTAAGATGCTGCGAAATTATTAATTCATGCTCTGTACAAATAGCAAAGAAATAAATAACCCATCCTTAAATATACACTTTTGGTTCAAACACAAGCATAATCATGACATACAGATAAACCAATAAAAAAAAGTTCTCACCACAACATTATCATAGATTTTAATTGATAAAGAATATTCAAAGGTATATCTTGTCACCCATTCACAAAAACGCTGAGATAATATAATTCTTGACAGGAATACGTCAATGCTGGCAAACGAAGGCGACGGACTCCTTAATGCAACATTTAAGATGAAACACACACACACACACCCTCACACACACACACACACACACAAAACTAATCTAGCACCTTCACACCCGGTGCCTTTGTATGATATGTGCGCATGTGTTGGCTTTGGGTATATCTTGAATAAATCATTATTTGGTATGAACACTGGTGAAATTCTGCGTCAATGATTGCTCCCGGTTCCAACAAAGTCCTCGGTATGCCGATTTATGCCGCTAAGCATGGAACAGTTACTGTTGTCTGACGTCACATTCTGAAGTATATCAGCTGAAGATGATGACGTTTTTTTCTCGAATTTCGGTTTGTAGTCTGTAATTGCCACAGTAACGCTTCCAACAGTAACAGATATAGTCTCCGCACTGCTTCTGTCAATTTTGGGGGTCGACCTAGAAATGTTGTATAAAATTAGAAGCAAATGGGTTATTTTTAGGTTTCAGGAAGTCTTTCAACTTGACAAGCAGTTGCTGTAGAAATATGTAAATGAACAACTTGGTGCCTTCAAATTTATGAAGACTAATGGTACATTAGGCGGGAATCTGATGATTAATACGTGAATGATGGTCATTACAGCAGTGACATCCACCGTGACGGTGAATTAATGCAGCATTGTGCTATTCTCAATCTTTATAATAAATAAATTTTACACGATCGTATTTATACCTTTACTGTTATCGTGTCATTAGTTAGAACAGCATCGTATTTATTACAAGTTTAAAAATATGAAATTAAAAATTCTTCAATTATCGAGGAATAAAAACGGTTAACAACACCTAGAAAATTCTTTGTTTATTTTATATTGGTTTGAAAACATATAAATCTTAATGTTAAAAAGAGACAAGTCAAATTCTTAGACTAGGCAGCATATATACAACTGTAGCATACATATTCATTCCACAAGTGCCGTCTGCATTTTGAAGAATGTTAAGACCTATGAAAAGTAATTAGTACGGAGACTGGAATATTCGACAGAAACGCCTCGTCATTCTTATGTAAACATATTTTCACTTGTGCTGACCTTTAGCTTTGACATAACAATCTGAAGATTACAATCCCACTTATATCATTGCACATTGAATTTACAGTGTATAAAATTATATATAAATATATATAATTTCGAAATACCCATGCTTTAAGTATCCTGATTTATTACCTTGCCGACTTCTTCGTGGAATGAGAGTTATTCTTCTCTTTTTTGATAATGAAATTATTACTGGTATTGTTGGCGTGAGTTTCCACACTTTGAGAGTTTGTATTGCTAAGAGTTTTTACATCACAGCTGTCGTTGGAGGAGGAATCGTTAACGAATTCCTCCGATTTATAGTGGTTCCGCTCCTTTTTGGGAGGAGGGGGAGGGGGAGGAGGAGGCACGTACTGTTGTGCTACTTGCTGCGCTGCAATCTGAGCACTCAGCCTGGGTTTCCTGAAAAAAAAAATAATAAAATCCATCAAAAATTCTCTTCATGACGACTTAGATGGTCTCACATACAGTCCTGTTGTGTCAGATCTGCAATGAAATTTTAAACTTAATTCAAATTGATGAAAAACTATCACATATTACAAATGTAAAACTGATTTTCCCTCCATAAAACCACACATTCTTGTTATGTAACAATAACTTGCAAGAATTGTTTCCCTTATGCTATGACCATAAAGAAGAAGATGATCACAGCGAAGATAAATATAAACCAAAGCAAAATCAACATGTCAGCATGTTTTAATTTTAAACAAAGGGTGTGTTCCTTTGCAGCAAAGATAAACTTAGGAACAATTACGCCTTGTGTAACATAAATTAAGGCCGACACTAATGCATACGATATACGGCACAAATAAAGAAACCTGGAATTAACAGACTGCAGGGTTACTAATGTAGGTTACTGGGTTAAAATAAAGTAGAGGCAATTATCATAAGAACACCTTTCCTCAATTAAAGTTTATGAATTTTCACTCAGAGAGAAGAAAATCAAGGCCATTGCATGTTATAAATAAAACTGGGTATCGGTGACCTTGAAAAACCATAAAATTTAATCAAGTCTCACTCGCCAGCGTATTTATGCAAAAATATAAAGAATTTTTTTATGTTTGGTGACTACAAAAGGACACTTAGTGCGAAAGGACACTTTTACACGGAAGAGAAATCGCTAGGATTTCCCAACACTAACTACATTTCGCCAGGTTCTAGTTGAAAAGATTGTCGATCTTGGAAAAAAAATCCCCTGAAATAAAGGTCCCGGTATTTAGGTATTTACTTCTGAAATTGTGATGTCACTCTGCTTTGAGACTCCAGTATATTTCGGAAATATAGAGTTTCAAAACATGTAAAAACACCCCGTTTACATTACGTACAAGTCCCCCCCCCCCCCCCCTTGTACATGTACCTCTATTGATAATAATTTTAAATATTTAACACTAATAAAAACTTGTCTATATTATATGTAGGCAAATAAAAAATATACGAATTATTTGAAATAAAAAGACAGATTTTAATTGTGTCAATATCCTTGTATTTTTTCTTTCCTTAAATGATGGGCCTCAGAACTTAACCCAAACATAATGCAATTAGATTTCTAGATTTTATTATTACCATGCCTTACTAGAATACATATTTGAGCTTAGACTTTGAGTAAAATTGGTTCTTGCAATGTTACCCCGCCTAGCACAATGAATAATCAAATGCCGTATGAAGTGTTACCTTATTATTCGAAGTGGCTCATTTATTTATTAGTATTTATTTAAAGATTATTACTTATAGTACTAAACTAATTTATCCGAGGCGTTGCTCCGTTCATATGCTGTTTTGTTAACTTGTAGTTTGACTAAGTAATACAGGCAGGTATATGGATGTCCTTACATTAATCAAAAAAGAGTTTAATTAAAAACAGGAAGCAGTAGCTTAATCAGATTAGGAAAATTAAGCGACATGTTAATAAGACTTTAACTTAGTGTTCTTAAAACCACCGGAAACATAGTATATAATCGTGCAAACAACAAATAAAGAAAGAAAATATTTATGCAAACCATAAATGTATAGTTTGTACACACACTTTTATACTTCACGTCTTAGTTCGAAGTATTATTCGTGTATGTTCATTATGATCACAATTACATACTATTTAAAACGATGCAGGATCATTATCCTAGAGCTGACTAAAAACTCAGGGTAAGGAGAAAAAATACAATATTCTCGGCTACTTTGTCTCTTTTATCCCATAGACAGCCAAGGTCAACCTGATTTTTATGCAAACGTTTGGAGCCGCCATACATCAACGAGAGAGAAAACTGAAAAGTTCATTTTAAAACCTCAACGAATAACAACATTGGACAAGAAATTATTTAAGAGACCATAAATTACATGTGTCAGGACCATTTACAAACATTTGGAATCCTTTGATCCAAGTTGATATTGTTTTTAAAATAGTAATTAGAGACACATATATCTTAATCATGATCACTCGGTCACTAAAAAGAAGACAGAAATATTGAATGATCTCTACTAAACAATAAGAATTAATTGTAACAAACAACTAATGAAATTCCAAAAACCGACAGCCCCGATGCACATCATAACTCTGTGTATATATAAACGCAGTTTATTTGTAGAGATTTACAACCTTATCTTTAACAGTACGTGTATTTCCTTTTACAGAAAATACTTACAATATAAGTACATAGGTAAGTTAAAGGAGAAAAAAAGTATGTTGAAGACAAAGGAAGGGAAAAATAAAAACAAAACGAAGAAATGCTCTTTAACAATAGAACATCGGGTATTTTGTTCAATTTTCAGACACCATAGACGTTAACGAAAACTTGGCAAATGATCAGGAAAAAAACTGTCCCTACTTCGGAAGTTAATGATGGAAAGCTTCCTTCGCAGCACAAGGAAGCTGACGACAACTTTAAATGGAACTTTACTCCTATCATTTTTCAACCTATATTCAAACTGCCAAAGGATATAGATTGTCTATCCCTTGATAGTTTGTAACAAAGAGCCCCGTCCTCTTATTACGTTGTACATATACAATTATAATAAATAACCTGTAAGGTACCGAGAATCTCCTTATCTCTGTTTTTTTTTGGGGGGGGGGGAGGGGGGGGGGGCTGGGAATGCTTTAATGCTATTTCTTAGCAATACAGAAATATTGTAAAGAAGAAATAAGTATATTCAAATCATTTCTCAGATGATTCAATATTTTTTTTGGCCTGTCATACTCAAACTATAAACAACAGTGTACATTATAAAGTGTTTTGTAAAGTATTACATCTTGACTTCACCTATCTTGTTTGATCAAAACATTCAACAATCATTCAGGTGAGTTATTAACTTACATCTGGAAATAAATTATAACTGTCTGCACCCCTTCAGTGTAAGACAAAACAATGCATTGCTTTCGTCCTCCATTGATACACTTCTGCATACTCTATACAAACATATCTTTGAACAAATGTATCTAATCTAACATGCTTTGGTCTTCTACAATCCCATTAACAATACAATCATCCAAAACAACATGCTCCAAACCTCCCCCGAAGTTTCTCAACATTTGAAACCTCAAGCAAATGGTCCATTACAAAGCACAGCTTTAACGACGTGACACTTCCTCTGGCATCTAGCTTTTAATAAATGACCATGCATGCAGAAACACTACAATAGCTAAGTCTTCTTTCAGCCGATGATTAACAAATTATTTTCTGGTGAAGCAGAAAGAAGCTGGATTCTGTAATCAGACCCCCTGTAAGATTGTCGGGCCAACAGCAGCATCAAATGCATCGTATAGATATCTTTGTAAACTCAAGATCCGTCTACTAATTAGACATCTTCATAGCCGAGTCCACTGAAGAATTGTTCAAGAAAGCTAAATAAAATCATTTCCTTCTTATACATTTTTGTCTTGACTTTATCATGAACAATTAAGTTTTGAGAGTTTTCGGTACATTTTTAAGGATACAATTAGAATTTAAGAGAAAACGGTGCTCTAAATTGCGATAGTCGTATGCAATGATATGTTAATGGGCAAAATATACAATTGTTTTGATTCTAAGACTGGTTATTATTGTAACATACATGTTCAGACTAAGACATTTTCAAACAAATGATTATTCTTCAAGGAAATGTACAGATTTTCAATTTTTAAATGATAAAAAAAATTAAATTCATATATTGATAATACTTAAAGTGGAAAATTTGGGGTATTCTCTCTCTCTCCCCTTCTCCATTCTAATACAGAACCACCTTGCATGTTAACATTAAACTTTACATGCATTTAACATACGTATAAAGTTAAACATGAGAACTAGTTATTCTTTAATTTTTTTCGTTCATTAAAACTTACTTTCATTATCTAAACAAGTCTTCCCTGACATTCACAAAAGACATCTCATTTATATTTTCTTCTTCTCTTTGAACAATATTCCCACGTGAGGTTAAACTGGGATGAACGTGTTCACATTCGATTACATGTGGCTTCGCAATAAAAATGTTGGATCTCTTAAACTTGTATACAGTTAGTTACTTAAGGGATAATCCGACATTACACCATTTTAAGTATGAACAATCCATGGGTTGTTTTACCTACCCTCAATCACATTATAAGATATAAAACTAAGGTTACACAGCATCCTAGGGGTTTTATGAATTTGAAAGGAAATGTGTTTTTCCCTATACACCCAGTAGTGGTCATATAAACACAGAAGTGATTGTGCAGTCATAGCTACCAGTGTGAAGGGTAAGAAAATACAGCAATAAGACCAACTCATTTATAAGAAAACCTTTCGTTTCAATTGATTTCAATGATCAATTAATATGATTACAAAATAACTAGAACTACCCACACACATTCGCATTAACTGTCATAATGTGGAATTCTTGGAACGGTGGTGAACACGGATCCAAAAACATGACAAACACTGACTGTGTTCGCTGTCTCAATTGCAAAGATGCAACTGATTTTCCAATGTCCAGATTTTCAAGCACTTGTTTGCATCAGGAGCTATTAGTAATACATTTATTTCATAATCTGGCAATGATTTTGAGTCTTCAATGTTTTTTTCTGATCTTTTTTCCTGTTGCATCCTCCAAAACCGAAATATTCTGATAATATAACTAACTTTACATACAGCTAGGTGGAAATCCAAATTATCTTTTTATAACCAATTAATGAGGATTTACTCGATGAGTAAAACAAAAAAATAATCAATTGTATAGTCATCATGAACACATTAAAAAAAAGGTTTGGATCATTATCACATGCATGCGCTGGATTAACTCATTATAGAAAACATATGGTTATACATCTGCAAATCAAAAAAGTTATACATAGCAAGAAAATTATACGTCAAAGAACAATACAGGAAATTGATTAATCAAAAGATTCATACAAGTGTGAGTGGGACTATATTCTACTACGAACCGATTCCATTCATTTG